GTTTTTATATCTGCATTATTGTGAACAGTCCTGAGGTTTTGTCATATGTAATTTTTATTTTGATGAGGTATATTCCTTATATGATTTATAGTTGAGGGTTTCTTATCCCAAAAGTGTTTTGAGTTTTCTCAGATGCCTTTTCTGCATCTGTTTAGATGACCATTTGGTTCTGTCAATGTGGTGCATTACATTTATAGATTTGCATACATTGAACCATTTTTGCATTCCAGCATTAAATCCCATTTAATCATTATATGACACTTTTAATGTGCTGCTCAATTCGGATTGCTAGTATTTTGTTGAGAATTTTTACACATATGTTTATCAGGAAAATTGCTCTCTAATTTTCTTTTATTCTAGTGTCTTAGTCAAACTTTCATATCAGGGAAATGAAGACCTCATAAAATCAGTATGGAAACATTTCTTAAATTTTTTTGAAAAGTTTGAAAAGGATTTTCATTCTTTCTTCTTATTCATTTGAGATTTCTCTAATTTTTGTTAGTCTAGCTAAACTTTTGTCAATTTTCTTTATCTTTTTAAATAACCATTTCTTTATTTATTTGATTTTTTTTCTATCATTTTTCTAGTCTCTACTCCATTTACTATCTAGTCACTATTTCTTTGGCTTTTCTAGACTCTAAATTTTTTATTCCTGATCTGATCATTGTTAATTTTTTTTCTTCTACTAACATTGGGCTTTGTTTATACTTCTTTCTCTAGTTTCTTGAGACATAATGTTAGGTTATTATACTAGGGATGTTTCCCTTTTTAATGTTACTGTGTAGCACTGTAAAGTTCACTTGGAAAAATTGAACAAAATGGAGAGCCAGAAATAGACCCACACACATGTGGTTAATAGTTAATTTTTAACAAATGAACCAGGAATACACAATGGGGAAGTGATGGACTCTTTAATAAATAGGTTGACAAAACTGGATATCAACATGCAAAAAAAAAAAAAAATGAAATCAAACCCTTCTCTTACACCATACATGAAAACCAATTTAAAATGGATTAAAGGCTTAAATATAAAACCTGAAACCATAATACTCCTAGATGAAAATGTAGGAGATAATCTCCTTGACATTGGCCTCAGCAATGACATTTTAGATTTGACCTCAAAAACACCAGCAATAAAACAAAAATCAACAAAATGAATAGACAACCTGTGAAATGGGAAAAATATTTGTAAACTGTATGTCCAGTAAGGAATTTAATATCTGAAATTAAACAAGGGCAAAAAATCTTAATAGACCTTGTCCCAAAGACATACACATGCCCATCAGGTATATGAAATAATACTCAACTTAACAAATCATCAGGGAAATGCAAACTAAAACCACAATGAAATACTACCTAGAACCTGTTAGAATGGCTATTTTGCAAAACTTAAAAGATAAGTGTTGCTAAGAATGGAAAGAAAAGGGAAGTCTTTTACAGGCTGACTGTACAGTGATACTGCCATGATAGAAAACAGTATGGGTATTCCCCAAAAGGTTAAAAATAGATTTCCCATATGATATTGCAATCTTACTTTTAGGTGTATATGTAAAGGAAAATTAAACCACATCTTGTAGGGACATCTGAATTCCTCTGGGAGCATTATTCAAATAGCCAAGATACAGAAACAATCTAAATATCTATCAACAGATGAGTGGATAAAGAAAATATTTGTATACTTCCACTATGGAATATCATTGAGCCACAAAAAGATGAAAACTCCGCCATTTGCAAGCACATGGCTAAACTTGAGGAGATTATGTCAAGTGAAATAAGCCAGACACAGAAAGACAAATATTGCATGATCTCACTTATGTGGAATCTTAAAAAAAAAGTTGAACTCATAATGAAGAAGAACAGAATGACAGTTACCAGAGATGGAGGGCTTGGGGGGAAGCAAAGATGTTGGAAAAAAGGTACAAATCCTCAGCATAAGATAAATACGTACCGGAGACCTAATTCAGCCTGATGATTATAGTTAATAATAACATATTGCATATTTGTAATTTGTTAAGAGTAGATCTTAAGTATTCTCATTGCCCACACAAAAAAGTAACTATGTGAGATGATGGGTATTATTATTAGGTTATGGTAATCACGGCACAATGTATTCATGTATCAAAATAGCAAGTCATACTCCCCAAATGTATGCAATTGTGATCTGATTTCTTAAGAAAATTGTAAAATTATATAATTATATAAAAGTTAGTAATAGAAAAAAATAGTTATGCTTGGTACATTCTTTTCTAAAGACTTTAGTGTATGGCTTTCAAAGATTTGTAAGTTTTGTTTTTGTTTTTTAATAGTTAATAAGAAAAAAGTGGAAGTAGAAAATTTCTCAAGTTAATTTCAAGAAAAGTAATTTGTTTATACCTGAAGTGCAATATATTTGATTATCCAACTTGTAAACACAACTTTAAAATATATTTACTATTGAAAGTAAAAGTTAAAAAAGCCTCTGTTCTAAAGTCTAATTTTAAATTAAAATTTAGTCAAAATTGTTTTGATTATATTTTTTCTATCTTCTCTAAGTAAAGTATATGAGAATGATGCAAATGGGAAAAAAACACGTAAACATTTTGAACAATCTCAAACACAGGGAGCACAGGAAAACAAACCATGCATTTAAAATATTCAGAATGCTTTGCAGTGTTTATTTATCCTAGGAGCCTCAGCTCTTCAAATCTAATGATGAAGCAGGTGACCAACTACCAGCAACGCTAATCTTTAATCAACCCATATTTGAAGCATGAAATTCTCACCCCAGAAAGATGATTAGCTAATTTAATGGCTGTAGGATTGTCAAATAGGAAATGTGTATAGAAGAGTAATTTAGAATATTGCTGTCTGTTACTACTCTCACACTTTGAAGAGTAAAATTTCTCTTTATCTGGAACTTACATGATTATTTTTCTAACAAAATAATTTCCCAATAGGTCACATAGAAAATGTCTCTTTTAATGTACTTTACAAAAGTAAAACTATAATGTCTCAAATGATTTTTAAAAAATAAATTTAAACCATGGTTTAGATCATTTAATAAGTATCTTCTTGTAACTAATAAGATGAAACAAAGCTAAATAGGACCAATTAAGTATATGATTTAAATACGGATATGTGGTGATTAAAAGAATAACCCAACTACCAGTAGAAGATTACTACATTAAGTACTACAACAAGTATAACACTGTTCCTTAAAAACGTCCTTTATTATGTTTATTTAATATTTGTTTTAATGTCAAACACAAATAGATCTTTAAATGAACTATTTTGGAGTTAAATCCATTGCTTCTGATTTTTATAGGTTTTATGATCTAGGAAATCTATACTGCCTGATTTGATCCAATTTAACTGTAAGATTTTCACACATGTTGCACTCTACTATCTCCCAGAAAAATTATTATAATTGACTGAATGAAAGAAAACGAAAGTATTATTTCATATAAAGGTTTATTATGTGAAGAAAATTATTTAGGTCAGAAGTTAGAATCTATATAAAGTTAGCATTTACAAATAAATAAACAGAAATCAAATTTTTTTACATTATTTTTAAAGGGATAAGTTGTAAACAACTATCCTTGAGACCAGACCATTTCCTTGTGGAATGAAGTATGATATAAAGTTAATGTTACCAGTTTTGTGCTTTATATTTTGGCATTTAATTATTGGGGAATTTTTAAACCATTGTGTAAACTGTGCAATAAATCTGGTCAGCTTGAACTATTAAACTATTTGAATGCACTATAATTAATGTCCTTAAAAATCTTCAATTTTTTGGAGGTGATATTTTTTATTTGATACAGATAAAGGTATACTTTAAAGAGTCTACTCTCCTTTTTGATTAATTATTGCTAATTAATAAAATTCAAAGGTACTGTTTTCATTTGATTTCAGTTTCTTAAAATCATTTATTATGCTATTTATATAGGTGCAAACAATTATATGACAAGATTATGTTTAAAGTTCATGCATTAATATATGAAAGTGATATTTCTGAGTTTCTTTGAAACTTTTAACATACTGCTGCTATTTATACTTCATACCTGTTAAAATATTAACGTTTTCAACTCAAATTTTCAAGGCAATTTTCAAATAATTTTTTTGAGAGACAAGATATCACTCTATCACTCAGGCTGGAGTGCAGCAGGGATCACAGCTCACTGCAGCCTTGACCTCCTTGGCTCAAGCAACTCTTCCATCTCAGCCCCTGAGTAGCTGGGACTAGCAGCATGTGCCCATGCCTCACTAATTTTTAATTTTTGCAGAGATGAGGTTTTGCTATGTTGCCTAGGGTATTTAGGTGATATTTTATGCTTTACAAAAGAGAAGAAGAAAAATAATTAGGCCCTCAACAACTTCTAAATTAAAATGAATACCTTACACTGCTGAGAAAAAAATGAGAAACCTTTGGCAAAGGATAATTTATAGTATTGAATTGAAACTAGAAATGAGTCATGTTTCTGTAACTGTATGTTTAAGACGTAAAAACTAACATACTTTGCTTTATAAATTACTAATCAAAGTGTGCAGCTTTGTAATATTAAACTATGTTGCTGAAATCCAATATTAATAACATTAGAAAAAAACTGAGTTGCTAGTACTCTGTGTATCTGATTTAAAACTAACCTATTTTATTTGATTGCGGTGTACAAGTATACTATGACTAATCACATTTTGCTTTTGCTTTTTTTTTCGCAATTGTATTTAGATATTTACTTTAATATTTACTCTATTATTGAATAGATTATTGAAATATTTATTTTACCTTTACATAAGTAGTTTTGTGTGTGTTTGTGTGTATGTGAGAAGATAGAGTATTTGACTACATATATAATAAATAGGGAGTTGTATCTGATTATACTATTTCAAAGAAATCAGAGTTTTTATAAATGTTTACAGAATTTTGAAAAGGTGTAAGAAGTAACTAAGGCATAATGGTTCTATAAATAATTGGCTGAATGGAACATCTAGATTATGTTCTATTTTCTTTGCAGCAGGAACTCAAGAAAATGTCTACAAATCCCCACTCAACATTATAAAAAAATAGGGAATCACATATCAAGCTTTTAAAGATTTGGGAATCAACAAAGACCAACATGTCTGAAGCTTCTGTAATTTTCTAAATCTGTACTAAAAAATAAAGGAAGAAAAGAAACGGAGAGATTAAACTTTTCAATAAATATTTACATAAAATTTCAACTTTTAAGAGTTGACAATGAGAAAAGGAGACATCCTCAGCTGGCTTCTACTGCCTACTCTGGCTCTGAGGATGTCATAATGGAGATGCTTGTTGAGCACAAAAACAAAACAAAACAAATGAACAAGAAAATATGAGAGACATTTAAGGAGACAGAATGTGGTTGTATCCCAACATGGAAGAAATGATCACAAGAATGACTACCTGCCAGGGTTATAGGCAAGAGATAAATTATGGGTTATCTTTATAGTAATGTTTATTTGTGTTACTCAGATTGCCTTTAGAAGATCATCAGCTAAAAGCAAGAAAGAAGCCAAAAGAAAACCAAGCCATCATACCTCAAGCACTGCTTTAGAAAGGGCCAGAGAGAGACACTGATAGCGATAGCTACAGGTTGGCCTTGTAGCTTATTTACCGTGAAAGATCCTAAAACACTAAACATTGCCCGCTGTGACTCTTGCAATACTTCAGCCCACACCTCTTCTTCTCACCCCTCTTAAACAAACTGACTTCAGCACTCCCTACCTCCAGTTCCATAACCAACACAATCTAAAATTCTTCAGACCTTCCAAGTGATTGAACAATAAACAACTCTCAGAAAAAAAAAAAAAAAGAAAACTTTATTTTCAAGTCAGAGACCGACTTTTTCCAATCTGGCACATGAAATATTTGGGCTTCTTGTGTTTCTCCTACCTCCCTATCCACTTATTGATTCCAAACATTATTCGACTGACCAACTTTGTGAAATGTAATTATTACAAGTGAGGTATTTTGAGTTTACTAGGAGGCTGGGGAGACACGGATTTCAGGAGAGGTGAGGGATTGAAGCCAGAGTGTGAAAACAGTGGCTCTCTCACGGAATTGTATGGCCAAGAAAGATGTAGAAATACTACATGTAACCTAGACTTTTCCTCACTCTCTATGGAGACACAACCAGTTAACTAGTAGGTTTACAAAGAGCAATGGTAGAGTTTCTAAGAACATTACCACTGTGAAATAAAGATAATCTAAAGCTATAATGGGTAAATGAGCAGCAGTCTCATTAGTGGAGCGGGGGATTGCTTAACTATTGTGGTTTGCACAGTGAGCTGGTTTTGTCTCTATTTAGAAAAGATGATGAAGTGGTCTCATTTCATCTCCATTCATCACACCCTCCATAAACCAGCTCTTCAGAGTTTGAACAGATTTTCAAATGTGGAGACATAATGATTACTCACAAATTCTAATTCCATTTGCTACCTAAAACAAGCAATTACTTACGCTCAGTTTTTCTCCACTCAGTTGAACTTTAGATAGTGTCCCTAGTTTGTTTGTAGTGAGGTATGTGTATGTTCATGACACAGGGGTTTTGTGATGAATAATATTAGGCGTCAACTTCATTGGATTGTAGAGATCCAGATGGCCTGTAACACATTGTTTCTGGGTATGTTTATGAGGATGTTGCCAGAGACTGACATTTGAGTTGGTGGACTGGGAGAGGAAGACCCAACTTCAGTGTGGGTGGATGGCATCCAATCAGCTGCCAGCATTGTTAGAACAAGCAGGTGGAGAAAGCTGGGATCACTCTGCTTTGCTAAGTCTTCTGGCTGTCTCTTTCTTCTTTCTGTGCCCTATGCTTGCTTTTGCTCCTGCTGACCTTGGACATCAGAATCCAGCCTCTTTGGCCTTTGGACTCTGGGACTTACATGAGTGGTTTCCCCCGGGCTCTCTGGCCTTTCACCACAGACTGAAGGCTGCACTGTCAGTTTTCCTGGTTTTCAGGCTTTCAAACTTGGTCTGAGAACTACTGACTTCTCTCTTTCCTCAACTTGCAGATGGACTATTGTGAGACTTTGTGTTGTAACCATGTGAGACAATTCTCCCTAATAAACTCCCTTTTGTATATTCTTATATTCTATTGGTTCTGCCCCTCTGGAGAACCTCAACAAATACAGGTGTGTGTGTGTGTCTGTGTGTTTTGGTGAATCTTTTTCTAACAATTTGCCATTATCTTTTGGTTTTCTTTCCTCTACTTGAGTTTTGGCCTTTGAGATGAATTACACAGGCTATATGTGTAGATGCCTCCTATTTACTTTGGGGCACTTACATCCTCCCTATGAGGAGGTTCTATAGGAATCCTAAAGTAGCTTCCATACTTTCTAGTTCCCTGATGTGAGAGATGCTTTCTGGCACATTTTCTCAAACTGCCTCTCAGCTGTCCTGGTAGGTTGCCCAGCCCTACTGTTCCATGCTGCTGGAAACCCCTCTCTAGCAATCAACTTTTGTAGCAAAGTGGCGCAAACCCAAGTATACTCAAGGCTCATGGAGGACTCACAACTTTGCCCCAAATATTCACACTACAGGTTTCTCCCCTGCTTCAATTCTCTGTTGCAATGATGTAATGCTTGTTCACTCCATTCCCTTTATAAAACATCTTATTAAACAGAAATAAATTAGCTGGGAGTGGTGGTTCACACCTGCAATCCCAGCACATTGGGAGGCTGAGGTAGGCGGATCACCCAAGATCAGCAGTTTGAAACCAACCTGACCACCATGGAGACACCCTGTCTCTACTAAAAATACAAAATAGCCAGGTGTGGTGGCACATGCCTGTAATCCCAGCTACTTGGAGGCTAAGGCAGGAAAATCAGTTGAACCTGGGAGGCAGATGTCGCAGTGAGTGGAGCTCACACTATGGCACTCCAGCCTGGGCAACAAGACTGAAACTCTGTCTCATAAAAAGGAGAGGCCAAAGGCACCACATGGTAGGGAAGACAGGGTAAAGAGCATATCCTTTTCTTGGCATAATAACAATTCTCTCCATTTTATTTCTGACATTTTTCTTT